ATCAACAACTGCTCCACCGCCACCTCCCATCAGTACCACCCCTACCACCACCACAATGCCCCCCAGCACCACCACCGGCGGCAGCACCCCAAAGACGACGACTGTTCCTGTCTCAACGACACCCATTTCAACTACTTCAAGCCCATCCACGCCCACACCAACGTACACCACCACCGTACCAACTCCAGGTRCGTCTCTGATCTGTGCTCTCGTGTGTTTCCTTGCTGTGGAGAATTGAAGGTGTGTGRGCTCCTCCCTTTTTGCATCYSCATGGGATCTGAGATTGCATTAATTGCCACTTGTCCCCTGAAATGGCCTTTGTCCAAAGGTYACCCTTGGGCTGGTCCTTTCAGTAGGAACAAGGATGCAGGGGTCTRTGTCCTCCTYTCCTGTTGAGATATTGATCCTCTTGGTGCTGTGCATACATCCTTTCCTGACCACAGATTCCYATGACAGCTCTTGTTCCACRAGTTAGTGAGGTGTTCAGGTAATGAGGCAGAGATGGARAGCCCCAGCCAGATTGAAAACATTTCTCCTCCTCATCGCTYCCCTATTGGTATACCTCTCTGATTTTTTGAGAATCGGCTTCCAKYACCATCCCCAGTCTCTTCTTTACAAATGGCAGGCCATGWCTCTGTGTGTGCATGTTGAGAAATCTTCTTTCTGGGGCCAGATAGGAARGGTTGGTGCTRGGGACCTTTGCTGTTCTGAGGGGTRGGCTAACCTCTCTAGGTCTGTKGCAGCTGCCTCATGCACAGTTTCTGTTTAGTTCCTGCTGWGTCCCACTGATGCCTTTGTCTGTTTTCTCTGTCCCTGCTGTTTCTAACAGTTACACCTACGACCACAACAAGCACAGCCACCCCTACTGCAGAATGGCCAAACACTTCCTCATCACCGGAGACTCCCTTCAGCACTACCAGCACCACGATGCCTCCCATCAGCACCACCAGCATGAGCACCCCAGGCACAACAACTGTTACTGTGCCACCATCACCTATTTCAACTACTCCAAGCACATCCATGCCCACACCAACATACACCACCACCGTACCAACTCCAGGTACTCCTACATTTTTGCCATCACATGTTCCCTTGCTTCTGGAGTAATGAAGGTCTATAAGCACTGCCTCTTTTTGCCTCTGTTTGGGATCATGGATGGATATAATTCCTAGGTATTCCATGAAATGGCCTGTTCTGAACATGGTGTTTTGGGCTGGCTGTTTAAGAAGGAACAAGGATTAAAGGTCGTGGGGAGAAGGTCTTGGCTTCCCTGACTCAGTAGGACTCCTAGGAGTCATTTCATGCTGGTGCCCAGCTTGGAAACATGCTGAACTGATGAGAAATGTTACTTTTGCTGCTTTTGGGCCTCATCCTTCTGCTGGCCAGAGCTGAATCACTGGAGCCATGGAGTTCATTTTGGAGCAGGGCTTGGTCTAGTGGCAGTGGTATATCAGCCTCTGTTTGGACACAGCTGTGCCTGTTTTTTTCCCTTTTGTCTTCTCCTTTGTCCTCTCAGTGCTAGCACTTGTCAATTGTTATAGATGTTGGAAGGAAGGATTCCCCTCCCAGGCTTTTGTGAACAATTCCTCTCTGCAGACTGCCCCTTGTGGTGAACTCTTGGCCTTTGATGAGATCCATTAGTGCYCAGGGAAATCTCTCGTCAGGCCTTCATTGCACCACAGGGACACCACATGACAATCAGACAGGAATATATTCGCGAATCAGTTAGGCTGCAAAAGATCTCTGAGATCAAGTCCAACCTTTGCCTGAACAGCTCCATGAACACTAAGTGCCACGTCCAGTTTTKTCCTAAAAGCCACCAGGCACTGTGGCTCCATCCCGTCCCTGGGCAGTCCATTGCAGTATCTAATTGTTTGTTCCCTGGAAAAATTCTTCCTAATATCCAACTTAAACCTCCCCTGGCACAGCTTGAGACTGTGTCCTCTTGTCCTATCCTGTTTGTGCTCTCATGCCTGGGCATGCCTCCTTCCCTTACCAGAGTTTTGCATCTCATCTCTTACCCAAGGATTTAGTCAGGGRTTCATGTAACGAAGCAGAGATAGAAAGCCCCAGCCAGATGAAAAGCATTACTCCTCATCATCTCTAACCTACTAGTAGGTCTCTCTGATTTTGTGAAGCATCTTCAGCATTGTCCCCAGTATGTTCACTAGGTAAGGAGGGACATGACCCTCTCTGTGCATGGATTTCAAATACTGTGCTTTCTGGGGCCAGAAAGGGAGGGCTGCTGATAGGGATCTTTGCTGTGCTAAGGGTGGGCTGACCTCTCTAGGTCTGTGGCATCTGCCTCATGTGCAGCTTCTGTTCAGTTCCTGTTGAATCCCACTGATGCCTTTGTCTGTTTTCTCTGTCCTTGCTGTTTCTAACAGTAACACCTACGACCACAACAAGCACAGCAACCCCATCAACAGAACTGACAACCACTCCCTCGTCACCAGAGACTCCCACCAGCACCCCCACCCCCACTACCCCCACTACCACCACTACCCCCACCACCCAAAGCTGGGATTTTCATTAAACTACTTTCTGACCCCCCTAAACTGCCCGAATCGCCCCCCGAGACAACCCCCCCACCACCCCCACCACCACCACCTCTCCGGGCACAACAACCACTGGATTACCAACAACCACCACACGTCCTGGAGGTATGTTCCCAAAAGCAGTAATTCTCACCAAAACCCCTCTACCTGCCATTAGAGAATCGACAAAATGTTCTCTGGTTCTTTTGTAATTTCTGGCCTTGCTATGGGAGTAGTGAAGGTCCATGAGCACCTCCATATGTGGCTCTGGATGGGATCAGGGATGGGTGTAACTTCTGGGCATTCCACAAAAAGTTGTGTTGCCAAATCTGGCCCTTGGGCTGGCTATTTCATAAGGAACAAGGATTTAGGGGTCCATGGGGGAAGGTCTTGTCTTTCCTAACTCAGCACGTCTCCTAGGAGGTATTTCATGCTGGTACCCAGCTTAGACAGATGCTGAAGTGCTGGGTGACATTGCTTTTGCAATGGACCATGTTCTTCAGGTATCCAGAATGTAGTCACTGGACCCATGGAGTGCAATCGGAGTGAGACTTAGTCTTGTGTCAGTGGCATTCRAGGCTCTGTTTGGGCTCAGCTGTGTAGACTTTCCTACCTTTCTCCTCCTCCAAAGCCATCTCAGTGTTAGTGGTTGTCAGCTGTTAGACATGTAAGAAGGAAGGATTCTCCTGCCAGGCTTTTGRGAACAGTTTTACTCTGCAGACTGCCTCTTACTGTGAACTGTGKTTTTGGGCTGATGCTTTGTCTGATGAGATCCACTAGTGCCCAGGAAACCTGCATCAGGCTGACATTGAAATACAGAGGGAATCACTTTCCAGTCAGRCAGGAGCATATTCCTGTGCACGCTTTCTTCCCTGACCACAGCTTCCACTCTTATGTCCTATTCYGTGAATTAATGAGGTGTTCAGGTAATGAGAGAGAGAAAGAAAGCACCAGCCAGATTCAAAGCATTACTCCTCCTMATCTCTTACCTATTGGTAGATTTCTCTGTTTTTATGAGAAGTACTTTCCAGCACCATCCCAGGTCTGTGGCAGCTGCCTTATGCTCAGCTCTGTTCAGTCCCTATTGAATCCCACTGATGTCTCTGTGCCTTTGCCTGTTTTCTCTGTCCCTGCTGTTTCTAACAGTTATACCTACAAAGACACCGAGCACAGGATCCTCTACACCAGAATYGCCAACGACTTCCATGCCAACGTCATCTGAAACTCCCATCAGCACTGCCAGCACCACAGTGCCCCCCAGCAGCACCACCAGCATCAGCACCCCAAAGACAACAACACCAATTGTTACTGGCACATCAACAACCTCCTCAACTACTTCAAGCACATCCACACCCAAACCTGAATATACCACCACTCTACCAACTCCAGGTACTTCTGCTTTGTCTGATCTTGTATGTTTCATTGCTATGGAAGTTAAAAAGGTCTGTTAGCACCTCTATTTGTGCCTCAGTATGGAATTACAGATGGGTGTAATTGCTATGCTTCCCATGTAATGTTCTTTGCCCAAAGCTGGAACTTAGGCTGGCTGTTTCAGAAACTGTCATGGTTTGGACACTGGCCAAACACCAGGCACCCTCAACAGCTGCTCAGTCATCCTCTTCTGCCACAGCTGGGCAGAGGAGAGGGAAAAAAAAAGACTTAACAAAGGGTCATGAGTTGAGATAAGGAACTGGGAGAAAGCACTCCAAGGGTAAAACAGGCTCAACTTAGAGTTACAAGGTAAATTGATTGCTAACAGAGACAGAGGAGGATAATGTTAAAGATGTCCTTTCTTCCCCCAACCCCTCCCTCCTTCCCACCAACAATACAGGGGAACAGTGCATGGTTGTTTTGTCAGTCAGTCACCAGGATCTTCTTTTGCTGCTTAGGGAGAGGAGTCCTTCCCCTGCTGTGCGGTGGGGTCCCTCCTGTGGGAGACAGTTCTCCATAAACTTCTCTGGCATGGGTCCATCTCACAAGCAGCAGTCTTCCCAAAAATGCTGGGACATGAATCTTCTCCTATGGGGAGACAGTGCTCCCAAAACTGCTGCAGCATGGGTCACTTGTCCACGGGGTGCAATCCTCCAAGGACAGGCTGCTCCAGCCTGGAAGCAGGGCCCTCTCTCTCCATAGGGACTCCCACTGGACCACAGCCTCCTCCAGGCATCCACCCTCTCCAGTGTGGGCACCTCTCCCACGGGCTGTGGGTGGATCTCTGCATCCCCCGTGGGCCCCATGGGCTGCAGGGGCACAGCTGCTCCACTGTGGTCTTTACCRTGGTCTTCACCATGGCCTGTAGAGGAATCTCATCTCCAGTGCCTGAAGCACCTCCTCCCCCTCCTTCTCCACTGACCTTGGTGTCTCCATGTTGTTCCTCTCATGTCCTCACCTCCTCCTCCTTCTCTGGCTAGGAAAAAACTATGTGTCCTTTGTTTTGGTTTTCTTCTTAAATACATTATCACAGAGGTGTAACCAACATCTCTAATTGTCTGAGG